CTTCTTGAGACCATGATAGGACAGACAAAAACTACGTGGTGGACAGAATGGTGCCTTCCCAACTCCTCCCCTCCCCTGAAATGAGTATATCCCAATCCCCAGAACCTGTTACCTTACCTGGCAAAGCAGAACTAAGGCTGCAGATGAAACCAGGGTTGCTAATCATCTGACCTTGGGATGGGGAGATCGTCCTGGATTGTCCACGTGGAAGAGGGTGTAGAAGGGGAGATCAGAGAGAGAGAGATGTGATCATGACACAAAGGCAGAGGGGTGCGCACTGCTGGCTTGAAAGATGGAGGACGGGGCCACAAGCCAAGGAATGCGGGCAGCCTCTGGCAGCTGGAAACGCCCAGGAAATGTATTCTCCCCCAGAGCTCCAGAAGGAGTGCAGCCCTGTTAACACCTTGATTTTATCTCGGTAAGACCCGTTTCAGAATTCTGATCTACAGAGCTGTTAAGATACTAAATGCGTGTTGTTTTAAGCCATCAAGGTTTTGGTGCTCTGTTACGGCAGCCACAAGACACCGATACAAGCCATAGGACATGCTGAGTTGTCCTCATGGAGGAAATGAAAAGATGCCGGCCACTGCCTTCTCCTGACCTCCTCATCAGGTGAGAAAAGGGGCCTTGCACTGGTTTAAGCCCCTTCAAGTGAGACTACTTGTGACTTGACGCCTTAGACTGTCCTAATTGGCATCTGGGTCAGCTAGGTAAGTTTTTAGTTCAAAATTCCTTTTGTGAGAAAGACACATAATCACCAGCTAAAAATGTGAATTGAGCACCTGTGACAGTCCCCCAAGGTTGAAGATGAATTCCGGATGGTTCTGGGACCTTTTCCGAGAAAGAAAAATATAGTAAGATCAGAGTTTCTTCAGCAGTTTTCTTAAGAAAACGTTTCCCTTCCTATAATGCCCTAAAGCCCTTCAACATTTTAAAAGGAGAAACAGTTAATTAAAGGTTTATTGAATCATAGAGTGGACCTAAGACAAAGAAGCTACTTGCAATACACAGAGTAGCTCATTTGTTTGACTGTCACGGCCCCTCCACGCAGGGCCCCTGGGGCGGTAGATGTGCTCCCAGTGGCCCACTTCACAGAACTGGGTAGAATGGTCTCTAGTTTACGTGGTCATACAGGACTGGGTCCCTGTGTTTTGCCTTTATGGAAGGCTGTTATCATTAATATGCGCTCGCTGATGGACAGCCCGTTTCAGGAACACAACTTTACCGTAAGGTGATTTCTAAGCTGTATTTTTCTAGTCGCTTTCATCACTCAGCTTGCGACTGGGTTTCCGGGAAGGGGCTGCAGTAAGATGCTGAGCGGCCTCAGCCTAGACACATGGACAGGTGGGTCCGTGAGTTGGGAAGGCACAGCCATTTGTCCGGGGCCTGCCCGCTCTGTGCTGGGCACACAACCTCTCAGAGGTGGGCTTGGCGCGGGCGTGGGCTGGAGAGGCTCCGCAGACATGGTATCCCTGCTGCTCACAGTGGCCTGATGCCAGGTACGTACGAGAGAGGTGATCCAGTGAAAGGATGGGCACAGGACCTAGCAGGTGGTCAACTCCCATTAAATGGTAACAATTGACATGTTTTTCTTTCTAAAATCCACAGCAACCCGAGGAGGGGAACCTGGGGAATGTTCCCACCTCACAGGCCAGGACCTGAGGCTCACAGGGGCTGTGACAGCACAAGAAAGGGGCCAGGCTTTCCTCTCTCCAGAGACGCCTCCCCCTGGCACCCAGGAGCCTGGACCTGGTTTGGGTTGCCATGGTGATCACAGCTCTCCCATGAGCCAGCCACCCTGCAACCATCTTCTTCTCTCATCCCCCAACACAGCCCTGGCGAGGGGCCTTGTGCTGCCCACTCTCAAGATGTGGAAGGCACAACCTAGGGGAACTTAGCGTCGAGCCTGCCACGATATAATGTGTGGAGATGGGTGTAAAGACAGCCGCCAGCTCACCATCTAGATCGGTGATGGAGAACCTATGACACGCGTGTCCGAGATGACATGCGAACTCATTTTTTTGGTTGATTTCTCTTTGTTAAATGGCATTTACATATATAAAATAAATATCAAAAATATACATCTTTGTTTTACTATGGTTGCAAAGATCAGAAAATTTCTATATGTGACACGGCACCAGAGTTAAGTTAGGGTTTTTCAAAATGCTGACACGCCGAGCTCAAAAGGTTCGCCATCACTGTCCTACGTCCTTACCAGGGACCATACAGCCCTGCTGGCCCCACAGAGCAGCGAGGTGAGGCAGAGGCTCTCGGCCAGAAGCAGAGGGGCTCCCGCCCCGCGCCCCCAGGCCAGGCTCTGAGTGCAGAGAAGCAACTTATGAAAATCCGAGCTGGACTGTAGGAGGGAGAGGGAAGCAGTGGGCACCCCAAGGTGCCGCGTGCATGGCCTCCCAAGGGTGTGATCAGATGACTGGATGGCCTCCTCCCAAGCACACCCCCACAGCCATGTGTGCCCACGCTTTCCCAACGCTTCCCTATGGGACCAGGAGGGAGTTGTGTGGATTGACCCCCACTCAGGTGGCTGGGGAAACGCCCAATCTTTCTGTGCCTCCATTTCCTTCTCTGTGAAATGAGTCGAGAAAGAAGCCATCTGCAAGGGAAGTCTTGGCCAAAAACACCAATCCCTTATTTCCCAACCCATAAAAACGCATCAACTCATTTCACTTTTAGTGAGGCTGTCAGTGGAACATTCAGAAGACTAAGAGATAAACACCTCATCCATGCGTTTCTTTTCTTCTAAAGTCTCTCATCTTGGAACTAGGAGAGCTGCAGGTAATAGATGTGACCACGCTGGCCCTCTGCTGGTTGCCTAACCACATCTGCTCCCCACCCCATTCCTCCCTGTTGACGGGATTCTGGTTTTATTTGGCTTGGCAATGGTCTTGGCTAAAAATATGCAGTTTCCCAGACTCCTTTGCAGTGGAGAGTGGTAGGTGACATAGTCCACAGTCCCGGCCAAGGTGACGGAGGTGAGACGCTGGAAAGGAGTCCCTCCAGAAGGACAAGACCATGCATCTTCCCCTTCCACTCTTTATCCTTCCGGAACCAACATGAGTCTCATAGGTGTGGCCTTCACCTTGTGATGCGGAGCCCAAAGGGTGGGGGACTGCCCACCTCCAGCCCCCCCCCACCCCCCACCAGTCCCCCCCCCCCCCCCCCACACACACACACCCGGCCTGAGACAGCTGCCCTCTGTTAGGTTCTTGCTACTGCAGCTGAACACATTCCCAGATGATGCACTGAGCATCCAAATCCGAGGAGCGGCCACCCCACCACATCACAGAGGAGTGAACACAAAAGAGGTTTTTAGACCGTCTCCATGGAAACAGTTCCCACCCAGGCCCCTCCCTCCTGCCTGAGATGATTGGTGGCAATGAATCCAATCAATGTTCCACATCTCCTTCGAGACACCAAAAGGCATGCCGCCTCTAGTCACCAAAATAAATATTTCATTTATTTATTTCTGCTTTGTGTTATGCACTTATTTATTTCCTTGATGAAACCAGCCTCCAGGTTTCCTGAAAATGTGACACTCAGGCTGCCGTTTCCTCCCCAGATGTGACCGATGAAAATGGCGCCTCAGTCTGTAAAATGGGGGTGACCAGACCTCACCTGCCTGGTCTTGCCCAGCTGCCTGCCCTGACCTCGTGACCTGGCCTTGGCCAGGCTCTCTGCCCGCACTCCCCTCATCCTGGCCGCTGGGAGGCCCCATGGGCCCCCACTGGCTCCCTGACCCAGGCTGGTGCCTGGAACACATCTGCTCATCCCCACACGGGGCTCGCCCCTCAGACGTCTCAGAGTTCCCTGAAACACTTTCCCAGGCTCTTGTCCTCCCTGATGGACAGAAATGACCCCGCTTATTGTTCCCAGCCGTAAACTGAGCCAACCTGGCACAGAGTGGGTGCTCCACAAACACGCGCTGCCCATTGACTGGGCAGCTGAGTCAGTGAGGGAAGGCAGAGGTAGTTCCCAGTGAACTTGTATTTGGAGAACTGATAAAACAAGGCTTTGTTTTGCCTCATCAGTGGTTTTTCTGCCATAGAGCTTTGTCCTTATATCTCGGGGGGAAATGTGGCCGGTGAGTGTTTTATCCTCTGGGCCCCGGGGTGAGTGAACTCTCACACTCCGAGGTGGCAGAGACGGCTGGAGCCAGGGTCAGGGAGAGCCTGTAAGTGAGCAGCTCCACCGCCTAGACCAGTGCTTCTCAACCTTCCTAATGCCGCGACCCTTTAATACAGTTCCTCAGAAGCATAGTGATTAATCACAAAAACAATATGTAATTATCTATGTGTTTTCCGATGGTCTTAGGTGAACCCTGTGAAAGGGTCGTTCGACCCCCCAAGGGGTTGAGACACACAGGTTGAGAACCTCTGGCCTAGACAGTGAGCAGGAGGTGGGGGAGGAGACCTGAAGCCCCTCCCTCCTGCAGCCTCTCCCTCCTGCAGCCCTCCCTCCTGCAGCCTCTCCCTCCTGTTGCCCCTCCCTCCTGCAGCCCTCCCTCCTGGCTCCCCCAGCGCCTCTCGACCCCCATACACAGCCAGACGCAGCCAGACGCAGCCAGACGCTGGGTGCTGATCTGCCAGCCTGTGACTGCAGCCCTCGGCCCCTGCGTGCACAGTGGCCTGGGAGGCACCAGGCGGGGGCTGAGGGCAGGCAGGTGCACAGAGAGTGGACAGTGGGCAACCGCCTTGGGGACATGTGGCCTCGTCTCGCGGATGCCCCAGGCAGTGCTCACAAAGCCCTGGTTCTGGCTCAGCTCTGGGCGGGGCCTGAGACTCGCAACCCGCTCCAGGTGCTGCGGACCCTCTGCTCCTGGGCCACACCTTCTACACAAGGCCCCACGGGAGAGCCGAGGACATGGACGTGCCTTCGTGGAGATGCTGAGTGGACATTTATTTAGTATTTACCACAGCCTGGCTCTCGTTCCTTCCATGACGGAAGGAAAAAAAACCAGGACCCAGCATGTTCAAGAGACTCACCCAGGGTCGCCCGGCTTGTGGGTGGCCGAGATGTGATGCCCAGTGGCCCCTGGTGGCTGAAAAGCGATGTCCGGTGGCCGCTCTGGCTGTTCATTTCTGGGCTTCTGGGAACTGGCCCAGAGATTGCGTATTCCACAGGCCCAGCCTTTTCATTCACAATCTCGAAACCTCACAACCTGAAAAAGAAAGGTTACTAGCTCCATTTCATGTAGGAGGAACCGAGGCTCGGAAAATGTAAGGAACCCACCGAGAGTCACCAGTAAAGGAGGGCAGAGCCCTATTTGAACCCAAATCTGCCTGCTCCGAAACCTGGGCTCCAGGCGGCATCCCCCACCACCACCACCACCACCTCTCACCTCCACCCACTCACTTATTCACTCAACAGACATTGACTTAATGAAGCACTGAGGTCCTGGTGAAGAATGCGGGGCCTGTGACCCACTGGCCTGGATTCAAATCCCAGGCCTCCCCACCCCTCCACGCCAGGGGTGCCACCCTGGGGCTCCCCTAGGCCTCCGGGGACTCAGTGTCCTCAATTGTCAAATAGGGACTCTGGCATCCCCTACCCCAGCGACTTGTTGGGAGGCGCCCTCCTGCTGTCCCATGTGATGCCTGGCATGCTGCAGACACTGGATAAAACCATCTGTCGTAAGTATGCGACAAGCCTGGCGCTTAGACTCTAGGCAGGGAAGACTAAGGACTTTATTGAATAACCGAGTGTCTGCCCTGTAATGGAGCATCGTCCTGTACAGCAAATGGTTTGGCATTCAATCCCCAGTCAGGGCACATGCAGGAGGTAACCCATTTCTCTCTCTCTCTCTCTCTCTCTCTCTCTCTCTCTCTCTTCCCTGCACCCTTTCTTCACTCTCTAAAATCAATAACAACGTATCCTCAGGTGAGGATTAAAATAAACAGGCTGTGTCCGAGATGACTGCTCCCCGAGAGCGGGTGCTCGGGGACACAGGGCGAGCTGCGTCGCCCAGTTGCAGCGAGGCGCTGCTGTTGGAGCCCCTGCCCCAATGGATCTGTGGCCCCATCCGCAAGGGCCCTGGGAACTGTGACGGCTCCTGCTCCGTGACCTGCGCTGCTCTTGGGCGGGAAAGTGCTGCCTCCCGCACGGCCACGCCTCGCTGCAGGGTCCATGGCATGGCCAGGGCCCTCACACTGCTCCCGCCTGGACACCTTCCCTCGCTGCAGCCACGGCCGGGGACCATCGAAAGGTGTTTCTCCAAACAGCTCAGAGACGCTGCAAGCTTGTTTCTGAGAGACAGGCAGGGATTTGGGCTCCTGGCACTTGTTTGCACAAAGGATCTCAGCCTTCTTTCTCCTGACACGCAGCTTAAACATGCTAGCTGACCCTTTAAAGTAGTGGTTCTCAACCTCCCTAATGCCACGACCCTTTAATACAGTTCCTCAGGTTGTGGTGACCCCCAACCATAAAATTATTTTCGTTGCTACTTCATAACTGTAATTTTGCTACTGTTATGAATCGTCATGTAAATATCTGATAGGCAGGATGTATTTTCATTGTTACAAATTGAACATAATTAAAACATAGTGATTAATCACAAGAACAATATGTAATTATATATGTGTTTTCCGATGGTCTTAGGCAACCCCTGTGAAAGGGTTATTCGACCCCCAAAGGGGTCGCGACCCACAGGTTGAGAACCACTGCTTTAAAGGGATCCCCATGGCTCCCCAGCTCCTTCCCGGAGAACTTCGAATATCTGATATGCAGGGTGGTCTTAGGCAAGCCCTGTGAAAGGGTTATTCGACCCCCAAAGGGGTCGCGACCCACAGGTTGAGAACCGCTGCTTTAAAGGGATCCCCAGGGCTCCCCAGCTCCTTCCCGGAGAACTTCAGGGGGCGGGGGCGGAGGAGGTAAATGCATGGTATCCCACAGGCTTTCTCCCTCCACTGACAGCACAGACTGTTTAGGGTTGAAGACTGGATGCTAAATGTGTCTTCTGGTTTGTACACACACACACACACACAGCCCAAAAGACGGAATAATCTTTGCATCAACTAAGGTTCTACCAGCCTGCTTGGCTAAGTGAAACATAAAAATATTTTAAGCTGAAATTGGTTAAATAGGCTGATAGAATTCATTTTGTTAAACAATCTTTCCCCGAACTAGTTTACTCATATACATGAAGCCTGAAGGTGCTTTTCCTTGCTGGGTTTCTGAAACCTGAAATATTTTCAACTAAATGAGAAAACGTTCGCTGTTGAATGGCCTATTAGAGCTGTCACCAACGTGATTGCTGGAAATAAACAAGATTGTAAGAAGGTTGGCAAGAGCAGAAACGTAAGTCAACATTAATAGACGATGTAATTAAATTATCCCTTAAGCCAAGGTGCCAAGTGACACAACATTTTTTGTTTTCATTCTAATATGTTCCCCTCCCTGGAACGGCACAAATCTGAATGGATCTCCCCCCAGAATTGCTCATTTTATCTTGTTCATTTCCTACGCAGCACATACCTCTCTGTTCTGCAGGGAACCAAAATACTCGGGACATACAAGTTCATATTTTCTCCAAATCATTTTACAGGGGTTTGCTTGATACATGCGTGGTTCAATAAACAATGTTTATTTTCTATGGGTTAGTATCTTGCTCAAGAAAATTAGAACTGAGTCTCAGGAAGATTTATTTTCATTTTAACTATTGTTCACTGGTCACTGCCACTCAATTTTTAAAAGACTTTCTCCCCAGAAGACAAATCTTTAAAGCAGAACAGAATTTATTTAAACAGCTGATTTTTTTTTGCACAATCATTTTATTAATACATTAATTTGAGTTATGAACAGTGGGTGACTTACAGAGTTTGTAAATACATAGAGGTATAATAGCTGGCATGTCTTTCAATTTAATTTTTAAAGAACAATACAGGACTAATTACTGCCATACATGATCCAGTCACTGTACTCTGCTACATTTACAGATGTCCATGTCTTTAAATCGTATTTCACATTTGGAATCTAATAAATCCCCCTTCCATCTTTTTTTTTTCAAGGACAAATAATAATATCATTTTTAGGAAAAGAAATATCTTTACTTGCTCTGGTTGAATTAGTTCTTTAAAAAATAGTTGTCAACACGTGCTCTTTCTTTTTAAATTAAAAAACAACATGGCAAATTATTACAAATTATGGAATCATGTTCCATGAAGAGTCGAAACATTAACATCATCAAAAAATAAAAAATAAATAAATAAAATCATCCCCAAAAATGTGTTAAATAATTTTAATTTCAATGTTAAATATGTTGAAGAAAGTCCTCAACATTCTTTGGGATTCTCTTTTGCAAGAGGTAGAGATAGAAAAATGTGGGGGGTTTGGGAAATAAAGTAGAAACTTTGGGAGATGAGGTTTCAAAGTTCTAAGTAGCTGGCGACACTGCTTTAGCAGGTGCTGATACAGTGAAATACAATGTCCAGTGTGGATATTCTCACACATATTCATCACATCGAAAGAAAACACTGTGTGAGAAGGTGAGATTCTGATGTCACTATCTGTACATGCCTGATTTCACTTGGCCATTTGTATGCATATAAAGTTCCATGCAATACTATAATGTACATTCTTCACCATTATTATAGGAGAACTGTACAGATAGCTTTTATTTCTTAAAACATAGACAGGCAACTGATAAAATATTGAAACAGCTTTTCTATTGAACATTTCCAGGAATTATTTCTTTGAACTCTAGCTGGGCGCTGTATCAGACCATTTCAGGAGGGTGAGACATTTTGGTCATTAACATTTGGCTTAAATACTTTAAATACTCTTGGAGAGTTTGCACATTTTGGGCAGCGTCTCAAAAAAAGGTTTTCTTCTTACATTTAGAGCTTACTGGATGAGTTCCCGGGGAGGCAAAGGGGAGACCGGACTGGATTGGGGCTGAATCTCAGTACCTATTTTCCCACCCCCCACCCCTGGATCACTCTAGAAGTAACATCGCCATCTACTGGATAGCAGCTCAGCTTCCCTAAGAAGGCAAAGGTTTCTGTTTTCGGCAATCCAAATTAGAAAGCTTAAAAAATATATTTAAGGTGTAGAATGCCATCGTTTCAGAGACAGGAGAACAAAAACAAAATACTCTAATCGAAAGCGAAGGAAAATGGCAATAGCCTTTTGTACAACTCTGGTCTGTAACAATTTTGAAAACTGGCTCTAGCCCATCACCCCCTTCAACAACTCCCGAAAAGAAAAAAAAAAGTAAGAAATGTGCTATTTTTAATTTCTAAAAGTTTTAGATTAGTTATGAATTTCTGGAGAAAAGGGTTTTTTCACTAGTCAGCTCCTACCTTTTTCTCCACACATTTCCTGGGGCTGGGAGCTTAAGGAAAGTGCATACACACACACACACACACACACACCCCAGTCCTTTGGAGTTCTTTAACCTAACAAGGCTCTGTGAACATACGAGTACAAAACTGGGATAACCCAAATATTATTTTAAATTTTTTTTCAGGCACTTAAGCAAAACAACTACCATTTTTGAAGTTTATGTAACTTTTCCTTATAAATATAATCACATCCCGATTATACATCTACAATTACAAATGTTGATTTCTGGATTTTCTCACGCAAATAACCGTCTTGCTTTCCTCTTTCTTCCTGCCCCTAACTGGTCACCGAATTCGCCTTGAAATTTGAGCATTAATTGCTTTCTCTTGGCAATTAGAGCCAGGGTATTCTTTTCACGAGAGAACGACACTGTTTTACAATTTCCCATACTCCTGGGAATGGTTTCATGGCAAAGAAAGAAGTCAAATGCGGCCCAGAATATTAACATATGTTTTCTTTACAATCTTCCAAACAGTTGGCAAGATGTTCAGAAGATTTTTTTAAAAAATAGACAACTTACGTTAAATAAAAATTAAATTTATTAAATATCGCAATTCACTCGTTTTTAAAAGAAATGTTTTTACTCAATCTGATATTTTCTTATGACACATCATTAGAAAAAGATTGTAAGAGTCCTAAGAGCCTAAACTCAGGCTTGCTATTGCATGACCGTCAGAAATGACTTCATTTCATATAGATATATTCGTTTCATATAGATCTCAAAGCATTTACAGCTTGTAACTTAATTTCTGACTCACTCGAGTTTGAAAGATCTGGACATTATAAAGGCAAACTAATTTTCTGCTGGAACGAAATGAGAAGATGAAAATTTTTAAAATGTATTTTATTAGGTAAATCCAGTAGGGACTCACTGTTAGCCCCTGAAATAAACCAGCCTGCTTCTGTTTACTTTCTCCATCTTTCGGAACCTTAAAATGAACATTGAAGGCACTGCAATTGGTAAGCACACACCTCCGCCCCCAGCCGATGTTTGTGTGGAAGTTGTAGT